TCTAGAAAAGGTGGGTCGTAAACGACCCTATCGTCCCTAATGGGTTAAGACAATAGCTGAAAAGGATGAAAGAAGTAGAAACGTCGTAATCTACGGAATAAGTGAATCCGACGGCGAGAAGTTAGAAAACAAAGTTGCTGAAGTTCTTGGTGAGATAAACGAGAAACCTTCATTTCGTGACTGTTGTAGAGTTGGTTTGAAGAGAGCCGGCACATTAATACGACCTACTAAACTATCTCTAAATAGCTCTGATATGGTTACTCAGGTGCTGCGAAAAGCGAAACTACTACGCACAAAAGAGGGCTATAAAAGTATCTACATATGCCCAGACAGATCAGTGGAAGAAAGGAGAGCTTACAAGAAGCTCTGGGAGGAATTGAAAGAGAAGAGGAAAGCAGAGCCTAACAGAGTTCATTTCATAAGGAACAATAAGATTGTCAGCTCTGAGAAGAACAGTGTATCAGCCTCGTCTGAAGAAATTTGAACTGTTTCACATTCTTCACCACACATTCATTTTATCACAATTTTGTTTCACACTTTTAAAAATCATATCGGGGCCATATAATTGCGGGCACGTTTTACTGTGCAGTACCGTGTTTGGTCTCCCGTCAGATTTTACAGACGGGGCAATAATTTATTCGAGTTTATTTCATACGTTGTAATTGCTGTACTCTGTAAAGTTTGAAAAGTATTTAATAAAAAAAAATCTATTAACCCTGTTGTCTTGACAGCAGGATTATAATTAAATCTAGATACGGATATTTTACATTAGTGAGGTTTTTGTACAGTTTCTTTTTTCAGGAGGAAGGGCGAGTGGCACAGCAAGCACAGAAGCGAACACTGGAAATGTGAATGAAGGTAGTCAACAAACACCAGTTTAATTGTGATACGTGACCCAGAACATTATTAGAGATATTATAATACCATATTTGAAGCTCGACTTCAAATATTGATACCACAGCTTTGATAGAAATTAGGATCGTTGTCGCAGACGGTGTCGAATGTAAAGTAGAGGTACCCTGGTCTGGCTACATATATCCTGTCACAGTATGGACAATGGAATACTATGTAACTCTCAACTAACAGTATGCGTTTAATATCTCTACAGTACAGATTACAGTGGTTTGATGAACTCCGCCTCGTTTATGGAAACGAGTGTAGAATGATTTAGCAGGCTTGGTCCTAGTATCCAGTGATCTCTCGAGTTAAACCTCGCTCCTCTTAATCTGTAGATTGAGTAGCAAAATTGCCTCACGCCCCCCTCAAGATATTATATGAAATAATCTATCATATCATTATGAGGAAATAAATAGGAATATTAATATTTGACACACATAATTTATAGCTCATTTTCCTTTTGTTGCTCATTCAATAATTGTCAATTTTCTCAATCAATTTGTCATGACAACAACCCTATATCATGATGAGTACGGTAACGAAACTGCTTATGGGGTTAAAAGTGATGCCATACGATACACTTGGGCCGGATACTATCTATTCGTCATTGTCTCATCTTTTATAGGAGACACAACGATTCTCATAGCATCGATAAAGTACAAAGCCTTTAAGCTTCACCGGGTCATCATTGTCGTCATTCAGCACATAGCATTCTGTGACCTGATGGTATCTGCTTCCAACCATCTCCAAAGAATGGTCTCTATCATCTCTGATAAGTGGGTGTTAGGAAGCTTCTTCTGCTACTTGAACTCCTATTCAGTGTTCTTTTTAGGCGGAACGAGTTCACTTCTTATCTGTATTATGACAACCAGCAAGCTGCTCCAATTGAAATATCCCTTCAAATTTCGAGCAACCACTTCGAAGAAAGCACACTTGATCTGCGTGGCATGTTGGTTGCTAGGTTTCATCATACCTATAGTACTCCTTCTCGTAGATAAAGATGATGTTTCCTTTTCGTATAGAGCCTATTCGTGCACATATGGTTTCTCATCAGAGATTTGGCGCTATCTGACGCCTTTTGTGATAGTGCTAATTGTATTTATTTCGACATGCCTGGTTGTATTAACCACCTTTTGTTTGCTGATTGAAGCCAGAAAAATCGTTTCGCAGAGCAGAAAAAGTTTGAAGTGGCAGGGGATCGTGACTACTGTCCTTACAGCCACAGTATTTTGCTTGTCCCTCCTACCCTTATTTGCTTACCATATTGGGGGATTTTTTATTAGTGTAGAAGACAAGAGCAAAAGTTCATTCCACACCACGTTTTATAGATTTGCAGTCTCGGTCACATCTTTAAACACCATGAGCAACTTCTACATCTATAGTCTGACCGTGTCTAGCTTCAGAGCATTTGTCCGGTCGAAGATGCAGCTGTCTTATCAGTACATAACCAATTCGGAAACAAGTCATGGTAATTAAATATTGATTTATTGATATTATAATATTTATTTATTAACCCTGTTGTCTTGACAGCAGGATTAAAATTAAATCTAGGTACGGATATTTTACATTAATGAGGTTTTTTTACAGTTTTTTTTTCAGGAGGAAGTGCAACAACCGAACCGGACCGAGGAAGGGCGAGAACTGCAGGACTGAACACTGGAAATGTGAATGAAGGTAGTCAACAAACACCAGTTTAATTGTGATACGATGACACAGAAGAAATTTCAAGAACAATGACAATGTCAAATTTTGATATCTGGAATGTTTGCAAAAATCGTAACTTAATTGCAAAATAAATAAGCGCAAAATTTAGCTTATTACTCCTACATAAACTATGCTACAGATGTTTAAAACCGTACCAATGTTTCGTGAACAATCTGTTCAAGCTTTTATTATGTAACGTTGATTAACTGATAAGTGTTAAGGTGGTGTCTTTCGAATTAATCCCACCAAGAGTACACATTTTTCTTATCTTAAATCCTATTAAAAATTAGAAAATTTAAAAAAAACATGTGTGCGTGACGTGTGTGGAAAAATATTTTGAATTTGGAAAAATATTTTAAATTTCTACTTTTATAGACCAAATATTATTTCTGATAGAGAATATACCATCATATTATTGAGTATTATCCATGCATGACTATGTAAGCGAAAAACATCGATAATTTATTTTTCATGTTTCAATTTTCCCCAAAAAATATATGTGAGCTCCCTTTACATAGTGTGCTAATAACACGTTATTGAGTTTTGCTCCTGAAATATCATCGCTATTGTCTTATCGTTTTTAAAGTATCTCATTATGCTTAATTATAAAAACTTTTCTATCGTAATCAACATTCCAGTTAATAAACCTTATCTTTAAAATTTGAGTTAGCTTAGGTCATTTGTTCAGAATTCTGATTATGATTAGGACATTTTATGTGATCTTGTTTTATAGTTAGTTGTTTGTGATTATTTTTTCATCTTTGAAGTTAAAATGCATTTTCAATTATATCTCTTACAAACCACCACCAATAACGACATGAATAAAATCCCATTTTTATCGATTTGTGAATTTATATCTCTCTTTGGTCGTTTGTCCTGTGCCACATTTAATTAGATATTTTGATCATTACATATTATTAATAAGTAATATGTAGGTAGTATTATTAAAAATGATGATAATTTTGATCGTTAATCTTATTTTACTTCTTTACTCTTGTAACTTGACAGGAGGAAGCTGATCTATGACAGTCAGCGACGGTAATATATTTGAAATAAAATGAATCTTTATAGTTACAAGATCATTTTATACATTCCTGAAATATCAGAAGACCTCAGCTAAGTGTGTTATAACACAACCACGTCACATAATTCCATATAATTTCACTCAACAATACGAGATTATAATGTATGGTGTATTATAATGTAGATACCTGAAATACACAGGGTAATGTATCTCAACCCAACCTACCCAGTGTAATTTGAAACCATTACCCTCGTTCTAATGTTTGGTTACCTTGGCAACCTGATAGAGACCGTGATATAATGTAAATAGTTCTAATTCTTCACGGATCCTAACAATTTAGAGTTATATTTTAAAGAAGTTGTTTGTTTAAATCAATATTATTTGTAGAAGTGGAGGACAGTACTCTAGTCACTGGGTAGTCAATGTGTAGTCAATGTGTAGCCACTGTGTAGTCACTTTGTAGTCACTGGGTAGTCACTGTGTAGTCAATGTGCAGTCAATGTGCAGCCACTTTGTAGTCACTGGGAGTCACTGTGAAGTCACTGGGTAGTCACTGTGTAGTCACTGGGTAGTCACTGTGTAGTCAATGTGCAGCCACTGTGTAGTCACTTTGTAGTCACTATGTAGTCACTATGTAGTCACTACGTAGTCACTATGTAGTCACTATGTAGTCACTATGTAGTCACTATGTAGTCACTGGGTAGTCACTAGTCACTGGGCAGTCACTGTGTAGTCACTGGGTAGTCACTATGAGGTCACCATGTAGTCACTGGGTAGTCACTATGTAGTCACTGGGTAGTCACTGGGTAGTCACTGGGTAGTCACTGGGTAGTCACTGTCCCACAAAACAAAATTGACCTCACATTATTATGAAAACTTCAGTGGAACTAAAATCTGTACCAATTTTAGGGGAGTATGTTGGCCAAAATGTTCGTTTTCAAGGAAATTTTAAGGCATATGGTCGTAAATTGTCGTAACTTTTTTTGGCGATTTCTTCAAATAGATGGTTTTAGCTTTAAATGTACAGGCTAATTGTTATATAAGACAAGAGAAACGCTATCTCAGGACGAGAGGAGGATTAGGACTCCTCGGACGACATTCTTACTACATTAATTTTGTAACGTCCTCAATAAATGGTATAGATTTGTAGTTTTGTAATTAGTATACACGTCGCAGTTCTGTCGCAGTTCTGTCGCAGATCTGTCGCAGTTCTGTCGCAGTTCTGTCGCAGTTCTGTCGCAGTTCTGTCGCAGCTCTGTCGCAGTTCTGTCGCAGTTTGTTGCCGACATACTAATGTATGACACTTATTTTGGTATCACGGAAAGTGCTTGGCTGCTTGCCAATTGCTGAAAAATTACCAACAAAGAAAACTTACATTGAGGCTTGTCTGATATGTCTGTCGAACTAGAGGCTGAAATGTTGATATTGTTAATATAGCTAGTGTTCATTATACATTATAGACGGTATACATGCTACCTTTAGTGACGGGTCTAGTTAAGGAGAGGAGCTGGTTAATGTTACCTTTAGTGACGGGTCTAGTTAAGGAGAGGAGCTGGTTAATGTTACCTTTAGTGACGGGTCTAGTTAAGGAGAGGAGCTGGTTAATGTTACCTTTAGTGACGGGTCTAGTTAAGGAGAGGAGCTGGTTAATGTTACCTTTAGTGACGGGTCTAGTTAAGGAGAGGAGCTGGTTAATGTTACCTTTAGTGACGGGTCTAGTTAAGGAGAGGAGCTGGTTAATGTTACCTTTAGTGACGGGTCTAGTTAAGGAGAGGAGCTGGTTAATGTTACCTTTAGTGACGGGTCTAGTTAAGGAGAGGAGCTGGTTAATGTTACCTTTAGTGACGGGTCTAGTTAAGGAGAGGAGCTGGTTAATGCTACCTTTAGTGACGGGTCTAGTTAAGGAAGGGAGCTGGTTAATGTTACCTTTAGTGACGGGTCTAGTTAAGGAGAGGAGCTGGTCGTGTCTTCTCCTCTCTCCTTGCTCTAAGACCTTGTAGCGGGACGAGATACTACTGCTGCTGGTTACCCTTTCTTGCTCTGGGAGGTCGGGTATTATTATAACCAGGTTATATGGAAGCAGTTTATTGTTACTTATTGCTTTGGGAATTAATGTATTATATCAAGTTTCAACTTTTTTGTCAACAATAGCAGATCTTCGTACTTCTAATCTCAATCATAACGTTTTGATTCAAATTATTATTTATATTTGGACAAATACCCAACCTAGTGTGACCATTAGTGGAATACAAGGACCAGAAGCAATGTCTTGTGGTGTTTTTCCATCCCTGTTTTGATGGTTCACGTCACCTCCGTGCTCCACCATCAGAGACAGACATTCTGCATATCCTGAAATACAGTTCACGTAAATAGAGTGGTGAAAATATGTACGATTTAAGTCTTTTTTAAATTCGTACAATCTGAAGATCAAGTCCTACAGGGTGTTTCAAAAATAATGTCCTGATTTTAAAAAACAATAATTTTTTTTATAAAGGAGCAAAATGCCTATTATCGGTTGCCATTAGTTCATAAAGCTTACAAATTTAATTTGTTAAGCTCATTTGTTCCAGCGATTCAACTTAGTTAATTTTTTTGGCTCTGTTCCAAAAAGTCGAATTTTGAGAAAAATGGGGCGCACAAAAGAAACAAAACTCGATATTGTGATAGGCGACTCAACTGTTGCATTGGGGGTTCTCATCTGCCCAAAACCTTTAATTTTGGCGATTGGCAATTGGCATGACCGCTAAGATGAAAATGAGCCTCATCTGAAAAAATTATCTGTTTCAAGAATTCTGAGTCACATTCGATGCGATCAGCCATCACGTTGCCAAATTCAGTCCTTTGTTCTTTATTTTTTGGAGTTTGTGCCTGTTGGATTTGAATTTTGTAGGCAAACTTCTTCAGCTCTTTCCTCAAAATTCTCCAAACTGAAGTTTTCGATAACTTAGGCTCCCTACCAAGTGTTCCGGTTGACCTCCTTGGACTGTCTCTAATTTTCTTTGCACCCTTTTGATATTCTTCTCAGAAAGAGCAGATTTCGGCCTACCCGTACGTGTGTTCTTTATCAGGTTACAATCAGTTTCTAGCTTCTTTACAAGACGTCGTATTGTCCTATCATCAAGTTTGCTGAATTTAGACTTGTCCTTCTTCTGTAGCAGACGCCTAGCACTTGTCACACTGGCTCCACAAATCCAATAAGTCTTCACAATATCGAGTTTTGTTTCTTTTGTGAGCCCCATTTTTCTCAAAATTCGAATTTTTAGAACAGAGCCAAAAAAATTAACAAAGTTGAATCGCTGGAACAAATGAGCTTAACAAATTAAATTTGTAAGCTTTATGAACTAATGGCAACCAATAATGGGCATTTTGCTCCTTTATAAAAAAATGTATTGTTTTTTTAAATCAGGACATTATTTTTGAAACACCCTGTATATCATACTGGGAACTACTATTACTAACAGAACTTGATAGTAGTTAAATATAAGTAAATATAAGTAAATATAAGTAAATAAAAGTAAATATAAGTAAATAAAAGTAAATATAAGTAAATATAAGTAAATTTAAGTAAATATAAGTAATAATAAGTAAATATAAGTAATAATAAGTAAATATAAGTAAATATAGGTAAATATAAGTAAATATAAGTAAATATAAAGCTGTACCCAGTTTAGCAGCCATATGAACAGGCGTACTTCCGTTACAGTTATCTGGAATGTTAGGGTCTCCACCATTTTGCAACAGCATCTTCAAGATCTCTGAAGATAGGTGACATTCTGTGTATATTATATAATAATGTGGCAAATATTAAGCTTGAAATGGGTAACAGTACCAGGACAATTTTCATTTTCATCTAGTTACCTAATCTATCAATTTGTTGATAACTATTTCACTTTATCCTGTACTAGCTTTGATCTAGCCGCCTCCACATCAGTTTGTAATTTTATAACATGAGGATGTTTTCTAACCTGGTTCATCAATGTTCACTGCTTCGTGCAAGGAGGACCAACGGTAAAACCCATTTGTGTTGGGGTCATCTCCAAGTTCCAGGCACTGTTTTACCTGCAATTCAATGAAATTTGTCGATAAAACACATTGCAAACGTTTAAAAACATTTGAGCACGTTTCTATTTGTATTACCTTACTCGGGATTATTATGACCGGGATAAAGTGGTGGGTTTAGGGTAATTTCGCCATATTTTTCCCGAACCACATTTTCACCGGTCGTTAATAAACCCGCCTACTCAGCTTTTAGGGTTCCCAAGGGGTATGGGTGCTCATATTTTAATCGTTGTCTTCTATTCACTAAAGAAGACTATTGGGACACTTGTTGTAGGTTTTTCGACTTCATTTGGCTAAAATTGCAAAAAATTCACCTTTTTGCCCAATTCTTGTCATATATCCTTATTGTCAAATTTAATTTAAATAGGCCAATTTTTAATTTCTTAGGTATTGACTATCTCTACATAATGAAATAGGACTCAAAGTAAAAGTAACAGTTAAATTAAAACTTGAATTAATTAAAACTGATGAAAGGGATGATCCAGATGAAGATAACGAAGATGATTACAACTTATTGGAAGACTAAACAGCTCTCCCTTTATCTTAATATCGATCTGGTTGTTACGCTTCAAATGTTAAAAATTATTTTCCATCTAGTTTGATTAACCACGAGTCATTATTTCTGTCTACTTTCAACAATTATTGATAATTCGACTTGTTTCACAAGTTTTAGCAATGCGAAAATTTCTAAACTTGCTTATCTCTTATAAGAAAATTTACATCTGAGACAAAATTTTTGAATCTAAAATTGAAAGGTTGGACACCGGTAAAATGGCGACCGGGAAAATGTGGTGGGTTTTGAGCAATTTCGCCATATTTTTCCCGAACCATATTTTAACCGGTCGTTAATAAACCCGTCGTAATAATCCCGAGTAAGGTAGATATGGTTTTAGTGACAAAGAAATTATTCCTATTAAATATGGAAAATTGTTACTTTTCGTTTTGATGTGTCATAATATAACAGTTTTAAAAACCTCATCAATGGCACCGAATCTTACTGCTCCATGTAAAGGGGTGTCTTCATCTTCCATCTACTAAGAGAATTAAAAATAATTTGAGATTATACTAGACCTTTAAAAATCAAGGTCCAAGATTTTCAAAATCGAATTAAAAATCTTTAAAGGCCTATCTCAAAATTCTGGCTCTAGAGTTCTCTTCTAACATACCCTGAAAGTTTGAGGGTGAATGCTCAAAAAATGTAGGAGAAGATAGATTTTTAGACTCGATTTTCAGAATGCGCGATTGAAAATCGCTCGTCCAATACAATTACACATAAGCGCTGACCTTTGACCGGCGATAATTTCGGCTAGGAACAATATTTTTCCATGGGACCATAAGCAGCTGATAGATATAACTCCCCTCTATCAGAAACAACTATAAAGATTTCGAGAGAATTTTGATGAAACCCCCCGGCCCCCTAATACTTTCAATACTAATATATAAAAAAGCTTTCCTGATGTAGTTTTACGAAGGGTTCAAGCCTCACATTGTGTGTTTTCCTTCATGTTCAAATACAACATACTTATAATAAATGTGACAAGTAGAGGCTAAAACCTCTCGGTCCCTTCTACTGCAGTTAAAGAAGGGTCATCAAGGGTGGGATCTGAGTCTAACCTTATTGTTCAGTAGTTCCATCATGGGTATTAATTAAATTTCACAATTCTCAGTTCCTGAGAATGATCCCCTGGTCCCAGAAGGCAATTATTTGATTAGCTCTTTAGTAAAAACAAAGAGAGTAAAACAAAGAGAGAAGAAAGCAGTTCCTGTGGTGTAACTGATAGAAGAATATAAAATGAAAGTGATTTTACACAATCAGTTATTGCATAGTGCAATAAGGGAGGGTCATCAAGGGTGGGATCTGAGTCTAACCTTATTGTTCAGTAGTTCCATCATGGGTATTAATTAAATTTCACAATTCTCAGTTCCTGAGAATGATCCCCTGGTCCCAGAAGGCAATTATTTGATTAGCTCTTTAGTAAAAACAAAGAGAGTAAAACAAAGAGAGAAGAAAGCAGTTCTTGTGGTGTAACTGATAGAAGAATATAAAATGAAAGTGATTTTACACAATCAGTTATTGCATAGTGCACGAGATAATCTGCTACGTCATAATCAATTGTGATATGGCCGGAGCAGCTACCCCTTTACCTGATCTGGAGGTGATGTACGACACCTCGTTAACCCAATCCCTGTGGGAGCTATGCCAAATTAAACAGCAACCTATATTGGAACCACCACACAAGGAATGGATAATCCCATTAACAAGGAGAAACAAAACAATTTAATAAACAACTACCACAATACCACACAAAACTAATAAAGGGCCGGATATCCCATGACAAAAAATAGTCAGGACACTACCGACTACAATTCCAATGCACAACAACTACAAGCACCCTATTAGTATTGGGCAAATCAGGACTCATGATCTATTGTTGAGCCTCGGATCTGGACAACATGACCCGATGTGTCTTCCGGCCGGCAGTAAAGTTTCAGTGTAATCGATCGCATTGCGTGCGGTTAGTACCACAACTCTACTTATCTCAGAATAATTTTTAAAATGTTAAAAATATTAACGTTACCTGACACGCCACTTTCTAATTTCCATGCGAGTAGTTTCCTTTTTCGTTTTCTTTTCCTTCTTCTTTTCATTTCCTATTTCACAAGCCGCGCGTCGTTTGTAGCGCGATGCACTACTGTGTACTGGGCCTTAAAGGATTGACAATCAATGCAATATTAAATATGCAGTACTAAAACGGAACTCAAATAAAAATACTTATGTACTACTCATATCACTGATGAATTAATTAATTCTAAAAAAAGTATATAACAAATTTTGTGTTATGAAAAAGCTTTGTATCACGCTGTGACCCCCTTTGTCGTTTCACTAACTGTAGAGTTTCAACGATACACGGGGAGCCGCGCCGCGCACTCGTGCGGACAACGTATGACAAAAAGCTCACATTCTCAAAAATGAAATATCAAATAAAACATTTAATATAATGGATCGGGGATGTTTAAAATTAGCAAATCCGGTTATATTTTAGTTTTGTTTTAAGCAACAGATGTAGTAAAGGTTTAACTAAAATTAAAAATATCCAAAATTATTTTCTTCCGGAGCAAGTTATTCCATATTAAAACAAATTTTATCCGGACGTCAAGAACTGTTCTATTTATAAACTCAGTTTTAAAAATTAAACCCGGCTCAAGCTGTTCATAGGAATAAGATTATCGTGCGATATTTGCGCTGTGGCCAAATTAGATACCATCCGATAGGAAAAACGCCAAATCGGATGTCGCAAGAAAAGCGAAACCTAGCGCAGGTTCCTATAAAAAGTTATGACTAAATAACTGGTCAAAATAAATATTTACACCGCGCAGCAAATAAAACAAACGAATATCAAAATAACATGCGCGTCGCTATTATGTATCGCTAGGCGTTACTATGGTTATGGCGTTACTATGGTTATGACGTCACAAATGACTATATTTGGAAATGAGGGGAAGGCTCCTTTCTCGCAACGGCGAGGTAGCGCAGTTGGTTAGAACACCAGCTTTGCAACCGCGAGGTTGCGAGTTCGAATCCCAATGTCTGCCTGGTTGTGGGGTGAGCGTCGTTGACGTTCAGCTAAGGATCCTGAGTGGTCTATGCTGCCCCCCGGTATACTCAGCCGAATACTCGGGTGTGAGGGTTAAATGAGGAGCTGCACATTGCAGCAGTCTCGGGCGAAGTAAGTATGGTACACACTACTTTAAGTTTAACAGTCACTGGCCAAAATAAATCCTTCGGCTTCCTGCAATTGGCTGGTTGCACGTGTGTAACAATGTAGCTGTTGGAATACTTCGAAGTAATATGTATAAGTGTCTTGATACAAAATTACTGTCATGTACTATATCATATATACTGTAGTCGATCAACTTAACCGACTATACCATATCAATTATCGTATGATTATTTGTACCATTAGTTCTGATTACCAATTCGCACTTGCAACTTGCTGGCCCAAAACTTATTCCTTGCCAAACTTTTATTTTTTCGTATTGTTTGACATACAAATGGCCATATAATAAGAATCATTTGATTCAGCCAGTGTCATTGATAATGGTATTGGTATGTTTTATCTCTCTTTTCGTGAGATTATTGTTGAACTTGATCTCGTGGTACATGTCTTCACATACAACCACTATACCTACGGGGGCGTTTGCATGGTTTCAGCAAGCTCTTGGCTATTTTACCAACCAGTACAATTCACAGACCAGCGCAATAAATTGTTTTAGACTATAATTAGAGTACTGCTCAAAGGTTACTATGAGTATGACATGCGATTATCAGTTCTACAAAATGTCTATTAATTAATAGTTAGATTGATAAAGTTCTTTAGATTTATTGAATAATCTCGGTCAAATTGAGTGGGTTCCTTGTTACAGCAAGACAAGAATTCAAACACATTTTATTCTATCAATAATTCATTTCAGTCATATTCAAGATTACAGTCGAAACATCCCATGAAATGCTTACTCTAAAATCTTTAAGTAAACGGTTGTCAACATTGCAGTTCGTCTCCTGGCCATGTTTTAGAAACCTTGCAGTCATTCGATCTGCAGACACAGCTTGGCAGCGAATCCGTCGCTGTACGAAGATTCATCTGCAAGTGCAGGCCCAAAATTGTTGAATGCAATGCCCTAGCCTATAATATCTGAATTACACCATCTTAAATCAAAACTCGTCCAGTTCATGCTCTCTCTTCCTGATAACCTGTAACCACCCATCAGGGGCTACTCTTCTCAAATTAAACTGGCTGCTTTGCTAGAGGAATGACAGAGATCTCCTCTCCGTGGTCTGGGTGGTCACACGATGCACCAATTACGAAAGCGATGTCAGCTATTTTAAATAACCTAACAGTTAAGACTCGGTTTTGATATTAAAACTGTTCGTGTTACAGGGTTATGGATATACAAATATTGTGTCAATGAAGATCACAAATAAAAGGTACAAAATACTTTCGGATGATGCAGATAAAATGAAATCATTACAGACCTGGCTGACTATCTAATTCTCTATTGTGTTCACAGTAGTTAAAGCCTAACATAATTGAAGATTCTAATAATTTAAGCATTGATCGTTGAAACACAGTTCAACAATGATCAAATAACCTAGCAGTCAACCTAGCAGTAAGGTTGAAATATAGTACAATCGAAAGTATAACTAAATACTAATATCATAAAACCGTTAATATCAATAATCAAATGTCGAATTCATAGTGCAGCAGAAACAGCAGAGAGATAATCAATGACTTCGTACTCCTGGTTATTGTAGGCTTGCATGAAGGATTCCAGAAGGGAGTCGTACCTTATCCACTTGGCAGCTCTCTGGGGTGGAGGTCTTCTCATCAGTCTTTCCGTGATCTTCTGATCTGTTAGTCCTTGCTCTAGTTTGAGGGCTTCAAGGAATTTCCAGATGGTAGGATTTGAACATTGGACGAGGCTGCGGAAACCATTATGTCATCCTTCTGCAAGGTTCGAAGAGCGTGGGAGACCAGCTAGACAGCAATCGTACTGGTTCCAGGACAGGTGATCGAAGCGAGCAGGTCTGTTTGGTGTTCCCATCCACGTGGACTCAAATTATAATGTAAAGACATCCATATCTGCGGAGATAATAGGTCTAAGGGTCTGCCATGCGTAGCGGACGTCATCAGGAGGGATGAAAGGTAGAGCTCCGATCCGTTGGAAGGCTTTCCGGATGTCGGATCCAACCACCTGATACTCCGGAACAAGGTCGGAGCGAGCGAAAGTCCTCCATAGAGCCTGTTTGAAGTGGAAGTAGCAGCCACGTAGAGTAGTCCCGGGCCAGACAGCAGTGACACTGTTCCGTAGCCCAGCTTCATAATCGCAAAGGGCGGTGTCTGGATGGAAAGGTCCAAAGCGATCCAGTTCTTCTAGTAGGTTTGTGTAGTGTTCTTGCCGCTTTCCAGGGAGAAGACCAAACGCCAGAGGAAGTCTGTAATTGTCTGGGGTGATTCCATGTACTGTCAGGAGTTGGGTGAATAGATTGGGTGCCACTTTTTTTGTTTTGTATTGCTGCGCTGAGAGGTGTTTATG